GGGTTCTCGCAATTGGCGTTTTCCTTGTTTTTGGGTTTGATTTCTTGCTTCGCATGTTAAGGGGATATTTTGTTGACGTCGCAGGGCGTAATGCAGACGTTATTTTAGGCAGCCGACTATTCGAACAAGTCATTGGCCTTAAAATTGCTTCAAGACCTCTTTCTTCTGGGAGCTTTGCCAGTCAGTTAAGAGAATTCGAATCTCTAAGAGATTTTTTCTCCTCCGCTACTCTCGTTGCTTTAGTTGATCTCCCTTTTGTCGTTCTGTTCTTACTCATTATATGGGCCATTGGCGGTCCTGTCGCTTATGTATCATCAGCGATTGTTCCCATTATTTTAATTGGCTCTTAATTCTCTCAACTTCCTTTAAATAGCTGGGTTCGTCGTATGTTTCGAGAAGGTGCTCAAAAATACGCTTTGTTGTTTGAAGCGATCAATGGAATCGAAACCATAAAAACATTTAATGCAGAAAGTCGTATGCAAAAAAATTGGGAAAATTTTGTTTCTCAAGCCTCTGGTTCCAATGCCCATATGCGCTTTATTTCACTATTTGCTTCAAGCTTTTCTGTTTTCTGGATCAATTTATCAACAGTTCTAGTGATTATCGTTGGTGTATACCAAATTGGGGAAGGCAATCTTACCATGGGAGGGATGATTGCTTGCTCCATCTTGTCTAGCAGAGCTCTAGCGCCTCTCTCTCAAGTTGTGTCCCTGCTTGTTCGTTTGAATCAATCGAAAACGGCTTTAGATGTTTTAGACAAGGTCATCAGCATGCCTGTGGAGCGCCCTGTTGGAAAACCTTTCCTCCACCGTCCTCGATTAAAAGGTCATGTAAGGTTCGACAAGGTTTCTTTTAGCTACCCAGGACAGGAAATCAAAGTTCTAGACAAATTTTCTCTAGAGATAAAACCTGGAGAACGGGTCGGTATTGTAGGGCGCATTGGATCTGGTAAGTCTACCCTAGAAAAGCTTCTTTTAGGGCTTTATGAACCTGATGAGGGAGAGGTCCTTGTTGATGAAACAGATACGCGTCAAATTGATCCTGCAGATTTGAGACAGAATATTGGCTATGTTCCTCAAGAGATTTATCATTTTTTCGGGAATATCCGAGACAACATTCTTCTTGGAAATGAAGACGTAGATGAAGCTTCTTTCATGCGTGCGGCCTCTCTTTCTGGAGTTTTAGATTTTGTGCGCAAGCATCCA